AGACATTCTGGAGGGGTTTTTTTGGTTATATTTGTATTTATATTGCCTCTAATCTACACCTAAAACTCAGTGAACTTGGTTTTGGCCCACCCACTGTAAACACTAGAGCAAGAAGAGGCCATTACTTTGCCTTAACTCATAAGGGTAATTACAGGAGGCAGCTCTCAGTGGAATGTAAGGCAACCCCATCTTCACTTCACCTGAAAGAAATGGTAGCAGGAACTAACTTCTTTTTACTCTCTACTAGCTATGAATCCAGGGGGAAAAGGAGCCAGAATTTCCTCTGTGTGGAGGCAAATTCACACCATTTCATCCTTTGCTTACTCAGCCAAAGCAGAAGGGGGCCTTGTCTCCACTCAGCTGCTTCTGTTGCTATCTCAAGATAGATGACGATTGTTATCACCAAACTAACAGAGCAAGTGCACATCTGTGGACTTGGAGCACCTCCATGCAGTTCCACTCAGTCACTAGCCTCCAGAACGTGAAGTACACCCTCAGAGGTACCAGCTGCTGAATGGACCATAGCAGCTGGTTGAGGTTTCAGGTGACATGCAGCTTCTGAATGGCAGAGACCTTACTCCATTCAACAGAGGGGGAATAACTGGCAGCAGAAATGGGTTTGAGTGCAGACACACACCAAATTTTACTGACAAAACCTTGTAGTCTAGATTGGGCTGATGAAGAAGAGGTAGTGTTTTAAATACGTTATATCCCTGTACAAACTAACATGCAAACAAGATTTAGTGAACAATCTAAAGAAGTTCATTCTTATCTTAAGGCCATAAAACAAATGTGTCATCTGCTTCTGATAAGCAGAACTCTTAGTTCAAATTTCAAGGTCATCTCTCTTTATTTAATAGGAAATGACTCAGGTCACAGTGCTAAAGTCCCTGTATCAACATTCAACAAGCAAGACCAGTACTTCTGTCTCAGTTATGCTATATTGTAAAATGTGATGATGTGTTTATTAAAAATGTGTGCACAATGTATATACCATGTCTTCACTGCAGAGTTAATTCAAGTGTGGGGTACATACAGAGATAAACACTAATAAACCATTATAACTGAATCATCAAACAGGCCATTATTGTAATGGGGTGGTGAGTTATGTCATGATTGAGAATTTCCCCAAAGGCAAACAATACCCAGATATCACTGGAAAGTTGTGTCTGCACCGACACCCTATCTACTTATGTGCTGCATGAAAACTTCTGGGGAAAAAGCTCATGACTCTTAGTGCTTCAGTAAACTGACATAGTGAGGTCAGAAAGGAAGTGGTTAGGCTATGAAAAACATATTTTTATTGGTGTTTGTGTGTCTCTGTCTTTCATGCCTGAAGAAGGGTGATTGTGCCCAAAAGCTTGCAAAGAACAATTTTTCCAACTCCCGAGCAGCCCAGCAGGCAGTTGATAACACAGTGTTTATCACCCCTAACTCAGTGTTTATTGGCCTATTAAGAAGACAAAGAAAACAAAAGCTCCTCTCCACTAGTTAAAGCTCTTATTAGACAACTTTTTCCAAGGAAGGAAAGGAGGGACATTAGCTCCCAAAAGCCCTGTGTGGACACAGTCCTGTTTGCCTTTGTCCGGTCTCTCACAGCATGGGAAGTAGCCAGAATGTGGTATGCTAGTTAATGCTGAGAGGTGTCTGTCAAGGAAGACGGGAGGGGGGGAATAATCCCTGTTTAGCAGGGAGTGGTAAGGAAAGGGGGGGAGCAGGGGGAAGCCAGGTGGATGCCTGCAGTCTCTGCCAGAGCTCCAGCCAGGGAGCAGATGCCAGCTCTGCTGTGGAGCAGAGAGCCCAGCTTAGAGAGCATGCCGGGACGCTGTGGGTGTCTGGTTCAACTTAAATCAGGAAGGGGTCTGGGACAGACATTGCATAAACCGGTTTGACCCAAATCAATTAAGTCCCATTCTACATTCAACCAGGTTTATCCAGGTTTATCTCAAACTTGTTTCAGCCATTTTCAAACTGGTTTATGTGCACTGAGCATCTGTTGTGTTACAGGTTTAAACCAGTTTCTGATCACTTAAACTGATTTATGTGTAATGTCTGTCCCTAGCCTAGGAGATATAATATATTCAAATAAGACCATGGGTTCGTATTGTGGGCTTTGGCCCTGAAACCGTGCCTTCAGGCCTGTAAAGAAGAATTCCACTGAGCCATGCTGTCAGGTTTTGGTTATCTGGTAATATGCTGAGAAGGTGTGTCCCTGATTATCATTATCAAATAACATCAAACAGATCTTTGTTCCAGCGCTGAAGGAATACAGTTACTGACAGTGGAAGCTGCAGCTGAATGTGAGATTGAATCACCAAGCCAGCCTACACAAACCAGTAGGTGGCTTCTGGTCCAGAAGCAAGGAATATTTTGCTCCAGGGAGTTATGGGAATGCATGGGGAGACTGGGATCAGTTGAGTGACACTAGCTCAAAGAGCTCTTGAAACAAACACTGCTTGAACAGTAGCAAAAGCCACTTTTGCCTGCATATTCACTCTGGTATGACAGAAAAGGAAGAAGTGACCAGTATCAGTCCACCACTCAAAGCTGTCTGAGCACTAATTCTGTTGATATTAACTTGATGCTATGAATATTAACTATGAAACTATGAAACTATGATGCTAGAGCCTACAATCAAGACCAAGATAAGAAGCACAAGGTTATAGAAAATGAAAGCAGCAACAGTGAAAAACAAAGCTGACGAAGTTGGAATGTACCTTTCCCCAGTATTGGTAGCTTTGTACCAGGCACAGTCATTTATAAGATATCATAAAGAACACCTGCTAGAATTTGAGCTGGGAGACAAAAGAGTCTTAAGTAAAGAATCAAATAACCTGTTAATATTGTCTCAGAGTGAGCTTTCAATGTTGTGCCACAGCATACAAATGTGCAGCCTGAGAAGAGCTAAGCAAAGGTCAGCTTTGTGTCTCTGCGGTTCTGGGCTGGTCAAGGATCAAAGCAACCCCTGAGAAATTCAGACAGCTTTGGGGACTGCCCTGACTTGCTCTAGCTCTAGATTTTGCATCTGCCTATAGAAACCTTCAGATTCTGGAGTTGGGCAGAATGGCTCCATTGGCATTTCCTCTACCAGAACTTGAAAAGAAACCTTTTCAGGGCCTTCTCTGACAACACCCCATTGAGAGTGTGTCGGAGGGAACTATCCCCAGGCTGGCTAAAGGCTTTTGCAACCTTTATATGCTATGACAGTAATATACAGGAGAAGGAACAGGATTGTAGGAGAAGGAAAACCTCTCATACAGACTTCTGGCCTTATGATCCTTATGATCTGTTTCAAAAAGGCCTGTTTCAAAAAAACAGAGCACAGAAATTCATCATTAACCCATGTGTCAAACCCAGTAAATTGGCTGCTGAACTAGAGGGCATCGATTCTGACAAGCTCCAAGTGAATTTACCAAATCCCTTGGTAAAGAAATGGTTAAGTACCACCCCAATGAAAATATAAAATCCCTTGGAAACACTAACTGCCAAACAAATGAACATGGTATTATTAAACAATTGGGCTAGAGACAGACATTCAAAAAGCCTGAGCCTGAACTGATTCAATCTTTGCAAGTTAGTTTAACCTGGCTAGGCTGAACTGGTTTGTAACTGTGCAGACATCCTGTCTGGACTGAAGAAATGCAGACCCATGCCTGCAATAGCTCAGGCTAGAATCCAGGGAGTGCTAGAGCAGCCTTTCCTTCCCTTCTCTTCCCTTCCACAATGCTGAGCTGGGAGGGGCATGGCCAGGCCCCAGTAGGCAGGAAGTTGATAACAGTATTTAGCACCCCATCAAGAAAACAAAAGTCTCTCTCATTAGTTCAAGCTCTTCTTAAACAAGTTTTTCCAGGGAAGAAATGGAGGCACATTACCTGTTGATTAGCTCCAAAAAGCCCTAAGCCTGTCCTATCTACTTTTGTCGTATATGCCTTACACAGACACCTCTCAGCATTAGCTAGCATACCACATGTTGGCTACAGTCTGTGATGTGGGAGATGGGGATCCCTGCCTGAGCAGGGAAGGGCGGGTTGGGGTGGGGAAGAAATGGGGCAGGGGGAAGCCAGGCAGACCCTGCTGTGTCTGCCGTCTCTGCCAGGGCTCCAGCCAGGAAGCAGAAGGGAGGGGCCAGCCCAGGTCTCTGGAGCAGAGAGCTCTGCCCAGGGCTGCAAAGCATTTGGGATGCTGGGGGACTCTGGTTTAAATTAAACCAGGAAGGGGTCTGGGACAGACATTGCATAAACTGGTTTGATCCAATTAAGTTAAGCCTGATACTACATTCAACCATGTTTAACTCAAACCAGTTTCAGTCATTTTCAGACTGGTTTATGTGCACTGAACCTACGTTCTGTTACAGGTTTAAACCAGTTTCTGATCACTTAAATCGGTGTATGTGTAATGTCTGTCCCTAGCCATGAAGTTTTGATTATGGATTTATTGTGCCCTGTCAAATATTAGCTGACACACTCTTCAGGATAGAAATTATGGGGCCAGATTTTCAAAAGTATTTACGCCAACAGGTACAAATAGGCAACCATTGGGATTTCCAAAATACCTGTGCAGGTTAGGCGCCTCTCATTGACAGGAATGAAATTTAGGCAAGAGGGAATTTTGAGAACTCTAAGAGAACTTACCTGAATCTTTAAATGCCTGAAGTCATTTGAAAGACTGACCCTAGGGCCGGGTCTACACGAGCAGGGACATGCCTTTACAGCAGCACAAATAGTAGCGGCACAAATTTATGGTGCTACTTTGTACCCCACTGCATGCCCTTGCCTGTGTGCTTTGCAGCAGGACACATGTCCCACTGCTCCAAGTATTGCAGGGGGAGCTGGCTGGGGCACAGGGTGCTTCAGCAGGAGCTAGCCATCCTCTGTGCTGAGGCATCCTGTGCCCCAGCCAGGCAGGGAGTGGTATGTGGAGATCGGGGAGCAAGCAGTCCAGGGCTGCCTGCTCCTCCAGCTCTGCACATTGTGGAGCTCCCATGCTGATGCACCCTGCAACCCAGCCAGTCGCTCCCCACCTGGCTATGCCGCAGTGTGCCTTGAGATGGGGAGGAGGTCGCCTTGCGCTGGCTGCTCCCTTGTCTCTGTGTACCTCAGTGTGCACTGAGGCACGTGGAGCCCTTGCACTGAGGCACACTGGGGCACGGGCCCAGGGCTTCCTGCTCCCCTGTCTCTGGGTTTGTCCCAGCATTCGCCACTTTGATGTGGTTTTCTTTCCAGGTTGCTTTTTTTTTGATGCCAGGAAAGCCCAATAGCTAATTTTGCCCCGGTGCTGCAAATTTTGCCGAGCACTGATTAATGTGCAACTCATGTGGTCTGTGGCACTGTAAAGAGGTTTGCAGCAGCAGAAGCCACACGTGCCTGCATATCTGGATCCAGCTTACGTGTCTACATGCCTCTTCCGTCTCTTAAAGACCTTTAAAAATCTGCCCCAAGCCAATAGTTATTGCCAGTTGCGAGAAGATGGAGCCATGGTAAAAGAATATAGCTGAACTTTTGTAGGGGAAGGAATCAAATTGCCATGATGCTTAAAATTTTTGTTGCCTTTAAGCAATTTTTAATGAGCATTTATGTTATTGATGGGCAAATTGGACCTGATCACAAAGAAAGTGCCATAAAAATGGTATGGCCATTAAGTGGTGTGTTATGAACCCTGGAAAAGATTGCTATATAGTAAATAAAAAGCATATAACCTGTAGAAAATGATCTTTGCCTCAACTTTTTTAACAGGGCAACAGGAAAAGCAAAGGGTTTTTCTTGAAGAATGTAACAGTGCTACAAAGCACTGGCCAACGCTTGACCCACACTGATGATCAGTGTTCAAACCTAAACCCTAATGCATAAACTCCTTCAGCAGTTCAATATACAACCAAGGTTTTCAGAGATTACGCTGGCAAAGAAAGGCTACAGGAAGTACTTGTTTTCCCTCTTTAGGCACTGTTATGATTATAAATTAATCCCAAAGGATATTATAGCTACTTCAAAGAGTTAATGAGTATCTTATAACTGCCTGCTTCTCTTAATTGTCCAAAGGCCAACAGATCCTTGAATGTATAAAACACTGAAGAATGCAGATAGGAAGCAAAGCTGAGAGAGCAAGAGAGGACACGAAAGTGCATCAGAGGCTACCAGACACCACTAGGACCTTGTATAATGGGGAAGATACCAAAAAGCATTTTTTCCATCTTTCATATTCTTGTTCTTCTAATTGGCTTCTCCATTATTTGTTTGGGAGCCTTTTGCATTTCCACAAGCTCCTCATTATGCAAATGTAGCAACAATATGCCTGTTGCTTATACTCTGCTGCCCTTGGGGTTCTTTCTCCTTGTGACTGGAATCTTTTGGAGCACATACCATGAAACCAGCAAGCACAAGAGCTTTTTCTACAACATTATCCGGAGAACTCCCTACCACAGGGAAATACATGTCCACACCATAGACAGGTATGTATTGCAATGTACATGGATTTTGTATTTGCATTCTGCATTTGCATTTTCTCAAATGAAATATAGACCATTGTAATAAAGAAAAGGCATTGTGGCTAGTATAGGATGTTTTATTCTACTTGTAGAAACAGAAGGATATCTTGAACCATCACTTGCAGCAGGTTGCAATGAGAGTAGGAACAGTTTGGGTGATACAAAACAGTGCCCAGGACATACTACTGAAAAAATTATTCTAAATGATTACAGTAACTTATCCAAGTTCATTTCTGGAGTAAAGAGGGACAGCTCCATTGACTTCACTGGAGTTACTCAAGAAGCACATTTCACCCATTTGTATATTCATAATAGATAGCTTAAAGCCAACTGCTGTACCAGTGTTTCTGTACTGTTTCTCGCCAGTATTTCTCAGGAAAGCCAATGCACTGGAATGCGTAGTTCTCTACATGGTCTATGCTTGAGGTTTCTGCGTAAATGTCCCTGCTATTTCTAAGTGAAGTCTGATGCTTTAAGATAGACAGTTTCTTAAACTGGTTGGCCCTAGGCCTGGCAAAGTTTATAATAGGGTGACTGGATACAAATGACTCTTTTTAGTCTGTTGTGGTAACAGCACCATAACAACTGACAATAGGTGCTGTAGCAGCTCTATAAATACAATGCAGAAAAAATCTTGGTTATATAACCAGTACAATACAGACAGCACTTTACAAAAATGTGCGGGGAGTGAAACACTTTTCTTTTGCAAATCAAACCCTTGGTCAAGAATACTGTAATATGGATAATGAGTGCACAATAGTTACATGGCACAGCTCGGAAATCTTATACATAAAGATCACTGACCATTGATCACTTTTTAGTTTATGGGTTCATTTTTTGGCTTATTTTATTAGGATTGCTTAGTGAAAAATCACAGGAAAATATATCAGGACCTCTCTCATGTTTTCAGTCAATTTAGTCTTGCTTAATTGTGATTTGTGACTTCAGTTTATGCTTTAAATCTCATATAAGCAACTGCAATGTAACAGACACGTATATATTTAATTCCACTCATATTCATTTCTTCTAATCAGTATATGCGTTATTTTGATTTGCTTATTTTTCAGACCCGATTTCTATCCTCCGTCCTATGAAAATAGCATTGATCCTGAAAAACAGATTGTCCCACTACCAGCTTCCTCTTCTGCCACAGAAGAAGAGACCTACAACATCCCGCCGCCTCTGTATACTGAAAGCAGCACAGAATTCATAGATGAAAGTAACTATGAGGAAGAACAGCCGCCATCGTATGAAGTGTCTGTGCAGCAGGGGGAGAAGCAGCAGCAAACAGGCGAGCACAACTCAGATACAGAAGGGGTCTCAGGCACTTGTCAGGGACCCATGCCAGGAACCAGTTACTAATAATATGAACTGTCAAGAGACTTTAGAAAGAGCAAAGCGCATCACCTATTCTGAGACAAAGTCAGTGGATAAGACACTGAATGTGCAAAGTACCGCTGGAAATAATGCTATACACAACTGTATTTAAGTACCAGGTTCAAGAGCTGCCTGTTCAGACAACACTGAATATGCAATCTTTGTTCTGGTGGCAGTAAAAGGGTTGTTGGAGGAGGTTGTTTCCCATATTTTAAAAGAAGAACAATGCTTTCTGGCCTTAAAAGGGTCTGCTAATGATATTAAGTGCAACCCATAACTGTTGATTCATGCCAGCATCATTGCAGCTTGTTTACATAGTTCAGTATTTAACAGGCTTACTGTGGCTGCACAAAGAAATGTCAGTAAAATATTCTATCGCGTGAAGAACTGAAGCCCCTCGCTCCATGCAGACTTGCAGATCCAGGGCTCATTTAGGGTTCTGGGTTCTTTCTAGAAGCCAAAATGTTAATCAATATAAAAAAAAATCCGTTATATCGAGGGAACCAACAGGCAAGAAAAGATGTGCTTTGCATTTACTGAGCAGCTTGGAGGAGATATTTATTCTTGGTGTTAAAAGAATGAGGGACTTGCGGCTGCCTTCAACAGTTCACTGTAGAAAAAAACATTTCCTCCATCCCCCAGGCATTTGTTTCACTATAACTGTATCCTTTAAAAATATTGGGAGCACTTGGATTTCTTTCTTTGTGGATCGAATCTTAAGTATGTCTGCTAGTAGAGAACCCGAGCCCAAACTGCTAAAACCAATGAGAGACTTTCTAGAGATTTCAGCAAGTATTTGACCAGTACTGGCTCCACTTAATGCAGGGCAGAAAAAAGGTCTTTGCCAATGTGGCATTTTTGCTTCAGCTTGACAGAGAAATAAGGAAAGACAAGTAATAGTCAACTCATCTCCCAAGCCAAATGACAAACTGACTTGCTGCCTAAAAAAATGCACTACACTGTAAAGAACACACTGCTTAATGCTTTACACTGTTTAATGTTTCTAGATGATCTGTTTGAAAGATATTTTGTATGACAAATCCAACTGGTTATTTCCTTCTCATGCTCAGTATTTGTTTTTCTGCTTGCTTGGTAGCCTATGGAAGTATTGTAAGAAAACTTCCTTGAGACACATAGTACTGTACTGTACCTAGTTGACATAGCTGCTAGGGTACCAAAGCCACTTCTTACACTGCAGGATAAGTGTGAATGTTGCTGCTTCATGATCCTATACTTATTAATCATCTTTGCATCTCATAAGGAGTTTAGGCTGCAAGTCCCCAACCATTTCTATTAGCATCTGTTAACCTGGGGAAAATGTTAAATCATTAGGAGTTGTTTTATGTTATTTGTAATAATCTGAGTGTTTTGTACCATAAGTATTTGAAGCTAACCTGTTTACTTTGTGCTGTTAATAACTGATATTTTAATATTGAATTGAAGCCATCTTTTTTATTTCAATAAATTTTATATTTAAACAAAATGGAATTTGTTTGGACTAGAAATGGGGTTTCTATGCTTCAGGATGAACACATAGCACACAATCTGAACTCAATAGCTGTTGTACACTGGTGAAGAAAGCATGGCTATGCAGTAGAGATCATCACAGAGTAATTTTGATTGCTTTACTAAAGGAAAAAAAAAGCCTTTGATGAGCCAGTTCTCTAAGCATTAATCTTCACAGCTGTATGGCTAGCAGCTTCCACTGATGTGTTACAAGCTCACAGGATGCATCTACAGGAGACGTTTACTGTGCAGTAGACTAATTAGCTGCACAGTAAATGTCTAAGCATTTACACGTGCAGGGCTATTAGGCTGAAGTAAACTCATAAACTTCACAGCAAGGTAGTACTTGTAAATACAAGTACTATCCTGTTGCAGGGATACTCTGCAGCAGTGCACATGTAGATGCTTCCCTGCCTCACTGGGGCACAAGGGTTCTTCAGTGAGGGGGCTGCCTTGCACTGGAGCACCCTTGTGCCCCACCCCAGGCAGCCCCTTTGCAACCTGTTGAGTCAGGTTGGAGCAGACGTCTGGCAGGCTGGGTACCCCTGGGTCCCATGTCAACTGGGGCTGCTCCCACCCAGCTCAACATGCTGTGGTCCTGGGTGTATGTGTAAACACAGAGCCCAGGAATAATAAACTCTGGCATGATAAGCAGCGGAGTTCATTGTGTCACATTAATATGCACGTATGGATATGCGCCCACAGACACTTTATCATGTAATGGCAGTTCTTCCTCATTGGCATTAGTTTTTGTTATGGCTTTATTTGAACATGACTCTGCACAATTAAATGTAATTGGGATGTTACTTTTTATTTTAATGGAAGCGGGATTAGGAACCTTTATCAATCTTTCTTTACACTTACAGATCATAGAAGGCATAGCTACAAATCAAAGCTGAAATTCAAAACCTGGAGAAAAATCAATGGAAAACTCAGTTCTCTTCTCTTGAGAATTATATTTTATTTTGGCAGCATTAGAAATATTAACCCCCCCTTATTAGAAATGGAACGGGAAGTGGGAATGTGATTACAACAAAAAAATAGGGCTTGGGAAACATTTTCTTTGGAGATAGAAGAAACTGAAAAAGAGAGAGTTTGTGAAAAAGGACAGAGGAAAGGGAACCAAGTTAACAGTTGAAATAAGCACACAGGAAATGACATACAGAGTAATGAAACAGAAAGGCAAAACAGTGGGAGAAAGAAAGAGGGAAAGAAAGAGAGAAAGAAAGAGAGAAAGAGAGAAGAAAATGAACAAACCGAAAGCAATAGTAGGATAATATCTCCATACAGAGAGAGATAGAGACAAATTAAAGTGGATACATAGCAAAAGGATTTTTTTCTGAATGCCTGTACATACTGAAGAAGAGAAAGGAAGAAGAATGGAGCAAACTAACTGCTTTGGAAATAAATCGTACAATAAGAGACTCCTTAGAAAAGTGATTGCTCTAGACAGCCCCCTGCTTACTCAACAGGTCTTCTCTCTGGGTGCAAACAGAATCATAGATATTGCTGACTCTAAAGAAAAGGACATATTTTTACTGATTTTTACTTATGTTTACACAATAGGAGAGGACTCCTGTTAGGAAAAAAAGCTCCATAAAGCTGTGGCTGCCTTGGGAAATCCATGCTCAAGATACATAGCCCCACAATATGTGAGGGTATAATAACTGCCTGTCTTTTCTAACCAGCCTTGTAATGCTGAAAAGGCATTTCCCTGAAGAACTGTAAGCAACTTGCTTGGATGGATTTGGGTAAAAATGAAGGTTCTGAACTCTCCCCTATTGCGTTACGGGAAATACAAAAATGTGTTCATGAACTTTTGCAGCCTTTCTGTGCCCACACCAAGCCAGGACTTTGCAAGTATTAAGGACTCAGGAACCTCTGTACTAAATTAAATGTGAGATCAAATTTTTTGATTCAAAGTACAGTACCAACGTTTAAGAAGGGATCTGATGTATAAGGGGGGAAGGAGAGATGTGAGGAAGGTTTAAGTTAGGAGGGAATATCTTGCTCAATATATGTTCTTTCAGATACAGTCAAGGGGTAATTATGAGCTTACCGGACAATGATGTGGGTAATTAGTTTTGAGAAAAAATTTTAACAATCCTTTTAAAGCGAAAACAGATTTAAAATGGCAGAACCCACATTTTGCTTAGACTTTCTGAAACAAATTCACCATCAGCGTGACTAAATATGGGAACTTTTGGATTAAAAGGATTTTTTTTCTTTTGTTGAAAAGATATAAACATTCAAAACCAGGATTCAGAACGGAATAGAGCCTTTCAGTCAAACTCTCACAAACAGCAGTCCTGTAATGATTTCCACCCTGTCACTAACCTCATCAGGGAGCTGTGCACCTTTTGTGTTCATTTATTCATGCTCACAGGTAAATCCTTTGATAGCTGTGGGCAGTGACTTGGGGTACAGAGAGAGACTACAGAGGTTTGCGTGAGCCACATGGCGTTGCTATGGCTGAAAAATGGGTGCTGGCAGCAAGTGGAGGGTAAGCTTCTCTCTGCACACCCACACCTGAGTTGCTTTGTGCAGGGCTAGTCCTCTGCAGGTATGTCCAACATTCAAAATTCTTTTAATATTAAAAAAGGCTCCTTTGTCAGCTTAGTGCCTGAGGAAAATTATTTGATGCCAGAAGCCACCATTGTGTAGTCTTAAAAATATTTAAGCTTGCTATTGAGTCTTCAGTGAGTAAAGGGCCGTTATTATTGGGTAATGTCAATAAAATGAAGGGCACCAGAAATAACACAATAATATAACACAATGATATACAATAAACATAGAAACATTTTTTTGGCTAATTGGCCTTTTTTCTGTTATACTCTACTTAAGAGTTCTTGTTTTCTATCTCCCTCCCATATCTTTCCTCCCTTCTGCCTCTTCCTTTCCATCTCCTATATATTTTTCCATGCTATCATACTTGCTAGCTATTTTATTTTATCCACTCACCCTCCCTTCAATTGCTCTTTCTTTCTTACCAGCTGGAAACAGAAGCTCATTTCCAAGCCTCCTTTACCTCTTTTTCTCTGGCCTCCATTTCTTTGTTCCTGAGATCCCGCTCCCAACCTTGGTCAGAATTTCACAAAAGTCTCTTACTGTTTTCCCTTCTTAGAGTCCAGGAGCTCTCTTTTTTTCCCCCTCTCTTCGTCAGTAGCTCTTCCTTTTTCAGCAGTCAGCTTTTATGAAATTTCCTATATGTGATTGTGTCTACATGTTCATTAATGCACTTCACTAGTGCTTACTTTACATTTAATTTAGTACTTGTATAAGCAAGTACTAAATAAATGTGCAGTAACTAGTTACTGTGCAGAAGTGCCGGCAACCGCCTTTTTAGTGATGCTACTGTGCGGTAGCGTATTAGCACTGTCTATGCTTTGATGAGCTACTTCATAGTGTTAGGGGGCTACTGCGCAGTTAGCATCTCGTGTAGACATACTCACTGTATAGGCAACAATACAAGCTGACTTTTGTAATTTTTGGTTGATGGTTGATTTATCTTTTCTTCAGGAGGCTTTTCTCTGTCTTTTTTATGGGATTTGGGCACAGTACATCATGTTTCTAGCAATCTCAATTTGTAGAGGCTTAGAAAATGGAGAGCTTTCTATTCAAACTCACCTTCCTCAGGCAATCACCTCAAGAATTATTTAATTATCTGAGGCCATGTCGTTACATTGCAAAGTTTAAAAAATACTTGCACAGGTCTTGACAGGATTTGCTGAAATGTGACTAGTGCAATGGGACAGCATTTTGAATGGAAATTTCTCTCAGAGTCTAGAGAGCTGCACCTGCAGTTGTGTAAGTCTGACTGGTCTAAAATAACAGTGGAGGAACAGGAAGAAGTGTAAAGTGGGCCTAGGTAAAATGCAGGTTTTAAAGATAAGTAGCGAAGATGCAAGGGCCTTCTGATGCCTTCCATAATGCCTTCCAAAATTAACCGAAGCCAGAGAATCTCTTTTGACTTCTAAGAATATTTAATGATACTGTAGGAAAATACTGTGTTAAAAACATCAATGTCTCCTCTATTTATAGTCAATTAAGTATTTAATGTATTTCTATTAAAGGCAGTTTTATGAGTATGCATGAAAGTGCAGTGTGTCCTGTCCACAATCAGGTATTAAGACAGAAATCTGGCATTCCACTTTATTAGATACTAAATGTCAGAGCAATTTTTGACAGAAGTGCTGAAAGAGACCAAAACAATTTCCTTCACTGCAACATAATCTAAATTGCACTAAAATCTTGACAATCACAATGAGATAACATGCTGCAAAGAGTCAAATTGCACTAAGCCTTTGACAAATGCTATGTATGACAAGTGATCACACTCTGTTCCCAAGGAAGCAAAACATTCAAACAAGTCACATGCACAAAGTGTTTGTGTTCTTGTTCAGAACAAAGCTAGGTACCGTGGTGAGAGCTGCAGTGTAATTTCACAAGCAGTAAAAGCACAAGTCTATGCCTACTTCTCTGCTTTGTGCTGGGTCTTTCTCCTCCTATTCCCCTTCACAACTGTTTATCCCATGAGCCTCTGTCACAACAAATATAATAGAATCTGAGCCCAACAAGTTTAGTATTGTATTTTCATTTAATTCATTAATGTTTGTTTTTATTACCTCTTCATTAGATACCTATTCCTGATAAGTGGAACATGAGTGAATATCCCATGAGATGGATTTCAAAAGCTTTATAACGTTTCCATGATAATCCATTTATGAGAAATATACTAAACTTGTAGCAATTTCCCTCGAAGCACAGTGAGCACTACTATGATATGCTCGCAAACATAAGAAATACTGCAAAAGGCAGCAGAGGCTCCCATGACTAACATATTAACAGAAGGAGACTTCTTCAACCTATTTTGACTTCCAAAACAATAAGCACTCTCTTTTAAAAGAAAAGACTTAAATTCAGGAAAGTCTAGTGGGAGACATAAGTCACACTGATATGGTTCCAAACAGAAATTAAGGAAA